ATACCCGTGACGCCGAGGATCCCCCCATTGATTCGACCGCTTTCTAACGCGGTCACGAACCGATCTGTGCTTTCAGGCGAGCATACCATACGAAATTACCCGGCGACCGTGCACGGTGCTTTCCTGAGCGGCCTGCGCGAGGGCGGACGGATCGCGGACCAGCTCTGCGGAAGCCCGTACGCGCCACCGACGATGCCCGCTCCCGGTCCAACGCCGACGGCCATCCCGACCGTGACCACCACCGGCTCAACCTCCACGCCTTAGCGTTCTGCCACGGAACCCGCGGCCTTCGATCGTTAACAAGCGTTATTATTACAATTACTACGATTACCGCTATTATTATTCTCGCTTAGACGACAAGAAGAAAGTAGGGGACGGTGGCTGGAATCGTTCCCCGAAACGCGAGACGCCCCCGTCGAGTTTCCCCCGGGAACGGACGGAGATTCCAGTGACCGTCCCCGCTCGTTTATCGTGTTTCGATCGTAACCGTCGAGGTTTAATTAAGCCATCAGCACGTATACGAGCATTCGAGCGCGATCTTACAATTAGTTAGGGAAATCTGTCCGCCGGTGACCACCCCATAACGCTCGTTCGACGATCGTCGTTTCATTGTCCCGCTGCGATCCCCGATGAATCTGTGGTTTTCTCTTAATTGGCCCCGTTACTTGGAACAGCGATTCAGACGTAATGGAGAAGCCGGGGATCGGGGCGGGATTAGGTGTATCGGCGTGCCGTTACGCGATTCGCAATTTCCGTCTGTTCGTCCCTGCTGCTCTTCGACGAGATCGTACAATTATTTATTTTTCAGATATCGTACGCGACGAAAGAAATGAATAAATAACAGTCGAAGACGGGGATGATCGACCAAGAGCCGAGGATCGTAATCCCGGTCGGGCACGTCGATCCACGCGCAGCTACGATCCTCGACCTGGCCGTTTCAGTTTTTCGGTTGGTCCGTGTTCGTTTCGGAGTGTCGTTGATACGGGTCAAACGCGAGGATCGTAGCGATCTTAGAGATACGTCGGTTCATGATAAGAGAGATTCGTGCCTTTGCTACTACGTTCCATCACGATCATACACACATGTTTAGTCTGTACCATATCGTAGAAGTCGTTTCATTGTACGTTTAGCATACTCTGTCGTACCAGTTGTCCTTTCCCTCCGCATCTCCTCTCCGTTTCCTTTAATCGCTTAGTCAATATCGTTTTAACGCCGCATGCTTCTGTCCGAATCTTCCTTTCCCTAGGTATCATGCTTCCTCGAGGTTACTCGATCTTAGCCACCTTCCGTCATGTCGGCCTTCAATTACTACTATTATTACTTACGATTAATTTCACCTTTGTAAACCAGTACACGCATTTTTGTAAAGACAAATACCGTTAAATGTTCGATGGAGGATTAAGTGTTTGCGCATTGTCTACCGCAAGAATTTCGAGCGAAGCCATCTCAGCACCGATTAGAGTAATTTGTACACTCGATCTCGCCGATCGATTTAACCTTCGAGCATCTATTGCCGCGAATGCTTTTCTAATGGCGTAATGGCCGAGACGCTCGAAACTTGGCGTAGCTCGCAGGAAGATACGCTACGAGACGATGACTTCGTTCAAGCCCGATTTCATCCCCGACCATGTTCATCGGCCAATACCCGAGCGATTGAGCAACGAGGAACGGAATTCCAGCAACTCCCGGTGTTCGCGTCCGGATTAAATCGACCCGGATCTGGAAACAAATTGCGTCAAGCGCACACGTATCGGTTAAGGCTCCCATCCACGGATATTCTACATGATAGAACAATTTCAACCCCATGCAATCGACAATTAAACCGTACTTTGTGTCACTGTATGTCATCGATAATAATAGACGTCGAGTTCTCGTAAGTTACACGCGTCGTTAACGACAACGTCTACGTCTCGTCGCGATACCATACACCTAAGTACGAATCTGTAAAGACTAATCGAAGAGTCCTCGATTATACACCAGCAATGCGTCTATTCGTCTGGATTAAAGGCAGAGAGTTGTTACTATACCAAGGAGAATCACTCGTGTTTCATTTGCTCCGATCGCCATCTCCCTCGAGCTCTAACGCGTCGCGGTGCTCCACGCTCGCAGCCAGCCAAGTCATCCGCGTCTCAGTCGTCGATGACGCGACCGAGCCGCTCGTTTCGACCCATTTCCATGCCAAGATTCCCGACGATCGAGCGACACATATCGCTATTGTGAACCGTCTCCTCTAGCCGGCTTCTTCGTTCACTCTCGAGCGATTTTCTCCGTTGTCCGAGGAACACTTGGGGGGTTACGTTAAGCTCTGCGCAATAAGAAATGTCAATGTCTCGAGAGAGGATTCCTGGCTGTCTATCTCGCGATGGAACTAGGTGAGTTGGCCGACGCGTTCTGCGCCACTCGTCGCTTTCTCTCGCAGAAACTCCTCATCTGCCTCTTTCACCGGCGACAGGCCTTTCAAGCTCTGTACCTCGCTTCCTTTGCAGAGATACGTATGCCGGAAACGCGGCTATTCATCTTGGAAGTCACTGATTTAAAGAAGACCTCGTAGTTGGCGAGGGAGGTTCGCGAACTAAGTCCCGTGTTGCGTTCGATTCGAGGGAAAAGAGAGATTCGATTTAAAGAGTTCTAAGATGAGTTTCTCGCGAAGATGATTGGTAGCGATCGTGGAGATTCGAGGTGGTTGGAAAGTAGGGTTCCTACTTTCATCTGGGTCCGAGGGTGCTACTGGGACTTTGGGGTACCGGTGCTCCAGGTGCCCTAAACTCGATGGAGAGCTCGTCGCTTAGACTCTGTTTTCGCGTAAAGCATGCGTCGGAATATTTCGTCCATTTTCGTTTCTTTTGGAATTCGATAAAATTTGAGCAAAATGGTACCGCGTCCTACGAGGTTTGCTCAGCTGGAAGATGCAATATGGTGGGTCGGTCGATCAGGAAGATCGTAAAGCGATTATCGCGTTGTTGTTTTATTATTCACGGGGCTCTGCGTTCCCGCAAGAACCCCACACTACCAAAAATTGAACGCACAAATACTCACGTTAGGAGTACTTACAGGCTTCAGCTTGTGGCCTCATGCCTGAGGGAACCACCTCGTTGATCATGGTATCCCCTACGCCAGGTTAGTATGGCAGTTCTCAGTCTCTCGCTTCCTGATTAACATTATCGGTACCGCATTCACTTTCGAGAAATTGCGATGAAGCAAACTCCATCCATCGGTAGTCCGGACGAACTATTTATGATAATTGAATAGCGACTCGACGACTGTTCGATCGAGTTACAAGATGGCCTGGGAAATTTCCTGATATCTCCAAGTTTCGTTTCTCGTTTCCCAATTTTGATTGGATTTTTGCCTCATAGTCAGAGCCGCCAAGCGTGTACGAGAAGTTTCACGGAAACGCGAAGTGGATATTAAATTTCACCGTTCCCCGTTCGCTTCAATTATCGAGATCATGCTTTGAGGTTAATTCGTACGAAGCGTACGGGCGGAAAATATTTCATCGTGATACGGAAAATGGATTTTTCGTTGTCGCAGCGACAGTCATTCCCTCCGGGCTGCCGATATTTTACTTGCATTTCAATTATGAATATTTGTCTTCGTGAAACCGGGTCTACGCGATTAATCTTTCATGGCGATTAATTCCAACGGTACGATCTATTAACCGAACCTCGACGTTTCGTTGCTTCCATAAATAAACGATCAACCGCTATTATTTCCTCGTTCAAGATAATTTCGCTCCTCGCGGTGTGATTATTTCGCGTGCGGAGAAAATGGTGGGCATTGCCACGTGCCCGGGACGTGTCCGCGAGAGGAACCGAGCCGTGGTGCATAATTCTCGAACCGACGCGACCCACCACCCCCGTCTGCCGGCGAAATTTCCTGCCTAAATCGGGGATATTGTGAGCTTGATTACTTCGATATAGATATTGCGTTACAGTCATGGCTGGGGGCGTGTAATCGAACTACACGGAGTCTCGTAAACTCGATGAACTTGAAAGACGAGCCACCGACGAAGTCCTGAACTTCTGACGGCGTGCAATGTTAGCACTTTGCCGTCGAGTTCGCGGCCTCCGTCCCTGCGTTCCACCCTTCTCCGCCGCTTCCTTACCACGCCGCATCGTTGCTCCTGCCTCGGATCCCACGATTTCCTCGGATAATTGATTTTCCGTGTGTAAACGCGGTCAAAGATACCGTGGATGGTCGAGCGTGGATCTAAAAATTTCCACGACGGCAGGTCGGGGCTGCGGAAGAATTACGACGCGGAGACAGCCAGGGGTGGATCCGAGACGATCGGGATCGGTCGAGGGAACAATTAACGGGAAGTATCGAGTCGCGGGGAACGTTCCGGTTAAATATTGAACGAGAACATAGACGGAAGTTTACCTTCGACCGACTCTGCAGAAGCTAGCGAAACTTAGTTCGGATCTTTTGCAGCGTGGAGCAGGGTGGATGGAAGCGAAGTAATTTAAGCGAGGACCAAATTGACGCTGTCTTGATTTATAATCGATTTATTACGCGTTCGATGTGTCTCTGGAAGATTGGCAACCTGTTCCCCGTCATCGAACGAGACACAGAGAGTTCGGGGTAGGTAGTACAACAGCGAGTTAGAAAAAATAGAATCGTACCGGCTAAATATCGAGCGTTTGACAGGTCGACTGCGAGAAAAACGACCGACCCCATTGATAGCCCATTAATTCCCAGTAATGATCCAATTACCGCGCCAGAGTCGGCCCTTCGATCACCTATTCGACGCCTCGGAGCGTGTTCGTGTGCATCAGTCACGTTCCAGGGCATTGAGCAACATCCAAGTGTACCCAGCCTAACCGAACCGTAACCAGACCACCGTTGCAAATCAACCCCCGCCCCCGTCTGGCTGAAATATTAATTCAATAGGGTCGGTCGTCGTAGTAACCGTAAACACCGGTTCGTGTCGTTGATCCGTCAGAGATCGTGGCGTTGAACATCCTCGATTTCCACGTTTCCAACCCTCGAATCACGCGCCAATGAGCTTCTTCCCGTTGGACGAGCTACGATGCGGCCCCCTGAAGCCGAGGAAATATCCCCAGACCGCGGTCGGCACCCCGAACGCGTTTTGGGGATACAGGTTGCACGAGAGATCGAACTGCAGGAAGGTGCCACTGCCAGAGACGTTCGAGGACTTGGAGCAGCAGAAGACCAGGGAATACGAACACGCGACCAAGATCTTGGACTTTGAGGAGCATACGAAGAGGAGGATCAAGAGGAAGAAGGTCTGGCAACGAGTTCAGCAAGGTACTACCGAGGAGTATTAGGCTATTCGCTGTCAAGACACGTGTGACGCAAGAGCTACGTGCAGGTTAGGTTTTGTTTGAGATTTTATCGCGGTTCTTCGAGAGGTTCTTCTTCCTTGGGTGTAATTTTTAGGGTGGTTTAGGGAAATTCCAATTCATCGGAGTCTAATAGAGTTCTTGGTCATTTGCGAAGTGTAAAGGGTTAGGCTGAAGCTAGGCAAATCGGTTTCGTCACGTGTACCTTCCTATTTTCGCGCGTAACACTCGTCCCTGATGTTTTCCTTTCGATGAAATCCTATGGCAAACTGCGAGACGCTATCGGCGCTAATAATTCTGCAGGATTAGCGAGTTACGAGGACACGGTGAACGCGCGGCGAGAGAAGCTGCGCGAGCTATTGTTGAAAGAAGAGATGGGCCTAATTCACGAGGTGATACACCAGGCTCAGCACGGCGACGATGCCAGGATGGACGACATTCGCCTGAGGGTAGAGGAGATACGCAAGGAGGAGGAGGAGAGGCGCTTGGCACTGGTCGCTGCGAAAAGGATGCAGCAGTATTTAGCCCAGTGTCCAGAAATCCGTGAAAAACTGTCGAGGAGGTCAGCGATCGAAACGAAACTGGGCAACCTGGCTCAAATGGCCGACAACGAAGCCAAGAAGCAGGCGGAGAGGGAATTAGATCACCTCTGGCACGAATTGACGCTGAAGGAGATCGAAGCGAAGAAGGAGAGAGAAGTGGAGGAGGCTAAACGACGTTGCCTGGCTCAGCAGGACAATATGACCGTCCTGGCGAAACAGGTAGCCGGGAAGTTGGTCCTCGAGGAGCAAAAGAAGCAGGTACAGAAGGAGGACAGGGAACATTTAGATCGTTTATGGGCGACGCTTCGTGAAGAGGAACGTAAGAACCTAGAAAGAGAACGTCAGAAGAGGGAACGGATTAAGAAGGAGCTGCAGGAACAGATCCTGATAGCCAAGAGGAAACTGGCCGAGCAAGCGCGCCACGAGAGGGAAATGGAACGCTTCAGACACGCCATCGTCACGGAGGAATTAGCAAAGGAGCGAAGCAGCATCAAAGAGGCCAGTGCAGCTCTTCGGCAAGAATTGCTCGCTTATTTGGAATATTTGGAAGAGCTGAGAAAGGAGGAAGCTAAGAGGGACATGGAGGTGGATCGGATAGTGGAGCAGTCGTCGAAGGACGCTGCTACCAGGCGCACCCTTGCGGCGAAGAAGTTCAGAGAGGTTAGGGAGAGGCTGCTGCAGGATGTCCTCCGAGGTCGGGAGGAGCAACTGAGGATAAAGAGCGAGAAGGAGAGGAGGGAGATGGAGGAGCGTGAGTTGGAGAAGGAGATGATGGAGAAGCACATCGAGTCGGAGGCCAAGCTGGCTGCTCACGCGAGGCAGGAGGGGAAGGAGCGAGCCTTGCGTTATAGGAAGGACTTGGAGGAGCAATGGAAACGGAGCGAGGATGCACGACGTAGAGAAATCGAGGAAGATAAACGGATGCGCTTAGAGCAGGCGAAAGAAGAGGAAGAGTATCGGAAATTAACGGAAGAATTATTGTCGGCTTCCGAGAACGTTACTCCGCACCCGTTCAAGGTTTTACTGAAAGAATGCGCGGCTCGTTACGCCGCGGAGCAAGCAGGGAAATGTTACTGTCCGCCACCGTTGCACGGGGAATAATTAGCGATACGTACGTATAAATTTTAATAATTGAGAGTATTACACTTTGTATTGTAAAATAATAGCATTCCTTTTTGAATTTTCAAATACGAAGTTTCATTTTCCCGCTCCGCAGGGATCGCGATCCAGCCGGTGATCTATAGCACCGTTCGAGCTCCTCGCGCCATCTGTGCCGGCTCGTCGAACCTTCGCTCGCGTCGTCGGTAATATAGAGCTCTGCTCCGTTATCGATTCTACCCTTTTTCTTCGCTTTTCACGGCGCGCGCCATCGTGGCGCAATATTTAAAAATACCGCACCGAGTGGAAAGAAAAATCGCTGGAAATAGACTCGTCGCTCGACGCAACCTTTCTCGTTCGTTCCTTCGTAACAGGGCTGAAAATAAACTTGCAAAATAAACTCGCGGATCGATGGGTAGAAAATCTGGATGTAAACCAGCCGGGCACGGGGAATAATAATAAACGCGTCCATTTACGGTAGACAGCGCGTTATAAATTGCGTCGAATTACAACGGGGAAATAAAACTAGCGAAAAAGCCAAGCGTCAACGCGAATCGCGCGTAAATAATTTCATCATCGACGCGAATTATTTTCAGCGACGCTGCGGCCGCGCTTCGCATTAAAATAATTACGCGCCCCGGGTTGAAATATTGTTTTCTCCCTTTCTTCCGCCGGGAGATTTATACTTCGTTGAAAAACTAATTCGTCCACGCGTTTTTGCCACTCAGCCACTGTTTTCTGCCATTTTCTCGTCCCGTTCCATCCTTCTCCTTCGTCTCTCTCTCCGTTCCTCTTCCAAATTTTTTAAATTTTTAACTCGCATTTACAGCGACGCTCGTCGAATCCGGAACACCGCGCGGCACCTACGAGCAGCTTCGAAATTCGCGAGGAAATCGGCCTGACGTGCAAATTGTCGCGGCGATTTGATTAAATAACACGACTTGTCCGATTGGTGCGAGAGCCGCGTAAATTACCCGCCGTTTCGCTCGATTATCGGAAAACACGCGACGCGTTGGAAAGGAGAACGGATTTAACGAGCAGTGCACGCGCGGTCAAAAATTGATCGCGAATTAATCGCCCCGGAAGACACGCTTTCTCGACCGGTGACTCGACCAACGTTTCGAAAGACGCGATTTCACCCCGCAAATTTTCTATTACCTCATTCCCCTTTCGTTCCGATATCTCGGTCCCGTTATTTTTAAACTTTCAAATTTCTCTAAAAATGCGACGTTCCAGGAATAAAGAACGTCGCGAACGAAATCGGAATAACGTATAGGGTGCTTAATTTTTTACGATCGCGTCGCGAAGGGGTGAAAACTTATCTCTTTATCACTCCTCTGGTAACGGGTTTTTTAAACGCTTTTTAAAACACCGCGAAGCTTATGGTGTCGTTTACCTAACCTTCCATCGACCTTGAGTAATGTACCTTGGGTAATGCTTTTTTACCTTCCCTCGGGCATTTCTTTATACCTTTCGAAGCGACCGAGGTATGCCCGGTATCCCTGATAAATGATACAATCTGTATTTCGCATTATGCCTCAATAATATCCCAAAGAGGGCTGCTTTCGTTCCCTTTGCCGCGACGAGCTACCACAATAATGCACTTTCATGTTCCCGCTCGCTGCAAAATTGCCCCTCACGGTCACCCGGCGAAGGTAATTTCCAGGAGGAATTTTAAGATTAAACGACCTTCAACCCTCTCAATTTTTCCCTCATCGAGCCACCACCGACTCCCTCGACGGTCTACCACTCGCGTCGGGAATTCCACAATTTCCGCAAATGATCGCAACAAATCGAATCACACGCGCGCGAGCAGGATATTGCCATACGAGTTGCCTGCCTCAGGCGCAAATTAGAAACGGCAGTTCCTCCAACGATAAACCGCTTAACTTTTAACTTTCTAACAGACGCAAACTCGATTTCCCTTTCTACACTTCGGTGCAATAAATCCACCGGCTACACCGGACTGCTCGATGGAACCCATAAAAATCCCTATTCCAACCCTTTCGCGCCGAGGAGCTCGCCGTGAAAGCTCGCCCAGCAGCTCGTCCCGTGTATATTAAAACGCATCCCCGTGGCTATATTAAAATATTTCCGTTCGGTCGGCGAGCGCGTCCCATAATTCCTGCGGACGACGTCGCGACGCCGCGAAAGCGTCCGCCGGCGCGGAAAACCGGAAGTCGCGAACAACGCACGCGAGTCGAAGCCGTTGAACGCGGAATTTCCAGCGCGAATTCCCATCGACTTCCTTCGTTTCGCGATTATCTTTCCACCCTATACTCCGTCCTTTCGCGCGGTTATCTTTGTAACGTTGGAAAAACTACCCCTTCTTGCCTGCGACGTTTCGTCGCAGAGGACGATCCCTTTTATCGACCATCTCTGCCCCCGTTCTTCCGCAGCCTTTTTCTCTTCTTATTATTTCCTTTTTTCTTCCTCCACTTCACCCTTTGCGTGTTTTTTCTCCTTGCACGCGCAAGGACCGCCCGAGCGATTAATTGATTAGCAGCGCGGTCAGCGAAGGCTGAAGAAGACCGTGGAGCAGTTGAAGAAGGCTAGGTTCAGGAGAATTTTTTCGAAATTCCATATCGGATGTAATACCTTGGATCGCGAAACGATAGATACGTCAGAGGAGGGATGAAAAATCGAGGTGTACCTTCCGAGAATAATCAAATACGCGGTGGAGGGGATTGAATAATTGATCGAAATGCGTTTCGATGAACACTCGTCCTTTTTAACACTAGATTTACGGAACCCGTCAATTTGACGGAAGGGTTGCTCCAGTTATGCGATGGTAATTAGTTAACTTATATTAAGACTGTTAACCCTTTGCACTTCTTTGTCGAGTGTGACTCGACATCGGTTTTCATCGCAGGAACTCCTATGTCGAGTTACGCTCGACGTTCTTCGATTCCTTATTTACTGAACAAGCAAAGAGAAAATAAGTAACTATTCGAATTACTTAAATTCCAAATATAAATCACAACAATGTTTGGGAACTATATTTAATATGATCAGTAAACAAAATTCTTTAAAATAAGTAGCAGTAAACGAACCGGTTCTTTGAAGTAAATTTCAAAGAAAATGCTTAAAATAGTAGGGAGTTATTGGCATCGAAATTGGAAAATAATTCGGAGTGCAAAGGGTTAATATAATATATAATTGTTTTTAAATTAAACTAATCGTTAAAAGAGAGGCACGTGGTTTCCTCTACCTGTCAATTTGACAGGTGTCCTTAGAAATAGGTATACGGATAACGTCCGTAAACCTAGTGTTAAGCTTGCAAGGGAGGTCATTTAGGATTCGTGGAAACATTCCTCGAAGGAAGCTCGATTAGCCTGCGTTCGCTACGTGTGCGTTGAAATATTCACTCGAATGCGAAAGAATCGCCGTCCCCCGGTCCATCCACCGGTTAACTCTTTGGGGCACGCTGGGATTAAAAGTGTTCCACCTTTTTGTTGCACCGCAGTGCATGGTGGGACATTTTTAATCCCACCTGGAAATATCGCAATAGCTGCATCCGCATAGGTTTATACTTTGTCTGATTTACGTAGAACAGTTGGTAATACCTTTGACAAATGTTATAAACGTATTCGCTTGTGTTGGCAACATTCAACATACAGTTCAGTACAGGTTCATCGATTGTTGCAAGCGGAATGTTTATTGCGAAAATATTTTTACATCATTTATTTATTTATTTATTGAAGCTTAAAGCTCTTTTTAGTAAAGCGATATAAAATATGCACACACAAAATAGGAAAAGCTATACAACAGACAATAAAAGGTACAACGTTATACACCAAGTTACATAGAAAAATTAACCCTTTGCACTCGAGGGGTGAGCTTCAGTCACCATTTCATAAAATTTGGAAGATCGATATTAATTAATATATGAAATTTAATGTAATGTAACAGTGTGCGAAGTATCGAAGTTAAATAATTCTACAATTCTATTATTATACAATTCTTTATTTACTGCTCAAATAAGTACCGTCAGTTTTTTAGTAGAGAATCTTTGAATATCTACTCTTCTCTAGCCAAAAAATCGTCGAGTGCAAAGGGTTAAAATGTGATTCCTCAGGTGATTCCTTTATTAATAAAAATATGTAGGGATATATTTTGATGGGCGAAATACAAGGAATAAAGATGTTATTTAATTCCAATTTATTTTATTTATGAACGAAAGAGACTTAAGAGTAAAATACAAACTAAGACTAATTACGTAATTCACACTTGCACGTCAATTCTTCGAAATGTCACCGACTAGACTCTTTTTCAAACCCCATAAAAGGTACAACGCTATACACCAAGTTACATAGAAAAATTAATATGTAATTCCTCGTGTGATTCCTTTATTAGTAAAAATATGTAGGGATATATTTCGATTGACGAAATACAAGGAATAAAGATGTTATTTAACCCTTTGCACTCGAGAGGTGTCTCTAGATCACCATTTGATAAAATTTCGAAGCTCCATATTAATTAATATATCAAATTTAAAATAATGTAACAGCGTGCGAGGTATCGAAATTGAATAATTCTACGTGTTAATTATTATACGATTTCTTATTTACTGCTGAAAAAATATCATCGGCCTTATGGAAGAAAATTTTTCAACTCGTACTCCTCTTTAGCCAAAAAATCGTCGAGCGCAAAGGGTTAATTCCAATATATTTTATTTATGAGTTAAAGAGACTTAAGAGTAAAATAGAAATTGAAATGTTAGACTAATTACGTAATTCATACTCGCACGTCAACTCTCCGAACTGTCACCGATTCGACACTTTTTCAAACCTCGTGTATAAATTTAACCAACAGGACTTCCTCAGGACAGCTCTTGCACTCTCGTTTAAACTTTGCACAATGTCTTCTTTCATACTCGAGCTTCCTTCCTGAATCACGCATTTCCCATAGTCTCGCTCTCGATGCATCACGTACCTAAACATTCAGGTGCCTTTCGCTCTTCAATTGCATTCCATGCAGTCATAAATATTCCGTTCATTCGA